AAAAAATAAACTGATAAACATATTTATGAACGAAACACACCAGGTAAAAATTCCAGCCCAGATTTACCATATAAACTGTGTATGTTTTTATATAGATACATTATTTTAAATTTCTGTCCTTTCTTTTGCATTGTTTCATGCTATAAAGTCTTCATAATATAATTAAAATTAAAATCTTATAAACCATTTTTTTCCATTTCTGTGATTTTGGATCTTACTTATAAAATACTTTATCACTGCAAAATATTGTAGAATTGAACTTATACTCTACATTTAAAGTAAGGAAGATCCCCCTCACATTCCAGGAATTTACATCGTGAAATGACTTAAACCCACAGAATCACTAAGCAAGGTCAGACTTACATGTAGCAAAAGCAGTTATCTACGAAGAGTTTTCTGGAAATGATTTCTGGAAGGTTCATTCCGGTGGACCATCATATAAATTTCTACCAGTAGTCTTCAGTCTGCTTGAACTTCAGCTAGAACGAGATGCAGCTCACCTGAAAGCTCATTTGAAGTGGCCATTCAGAATTCCCAGTGAATAAGTTCCAAGTCCTTGCCAGAGTGCCGAATTTAGGGGTGGGATGGGGTGGGGTAGATGAGGTAGGAGATGGAAATAAAGGTCAGGGTGCTAAAGCTGAAGGTACTAACAAGAGGAAAATAATTCTGAGCAGCTGCTTGTGTAAGTCCCAGACTTGCCTTATCTTCTCTGGAGCCTGGCAACATTTGTGAAGTGATCCCAGGTGGAGTTTTTCTGTATCTATGCACAAAGTTAGTTAAGGCTGTTGGTAAATAAACCAAAAATCAAAGTCACTGCCATCGAGTCTGTCCTGACTCATAGCGACCCTCTTTGGGTTTCTGAGGTGGTAAATCTTTATGAAGCAGATTGCCCAGTCTTTCTTCCGTGTAGTGGCTGGTGGGTTAGCTTCTGGTTAGCTGTCAAATGCTTTAGGCACTATGCCACCAGGGCTCCTTGTTGGTAAATAAAGGCACTTGGTAAATAACGATCTCATCTTGGTAGAGGGCTTTAAAGTTTACACAGCTTTCACATATGTTATCTTATTTGATACTCAAAACCATTCAGTGTTGGGTAGAAACATCCTCACTGGACTTTGATGAAAGGTTAGCACGCGCCAGGGTTCCCTTGTATATGCACTCCTAGGAAGGTTGGGCAATCCTACTTCCGTAGTGATACTGCCTCGGAAACCCAAGGAGGGGTCACTATGAGTCGGGGCCGACTCGACGGCACATAACAACAACAACAACAAAAACAGTGATATGAGGGTCACCATCATCAGGCCTTAGTTTAAGGAGCTGTTGTATTAGAAATGATGGTCCAAATATGATATTTATAGTAAAGACAATTTGGAAACAACTTAAATATGTGGCACTAGGGAATCACGTAAGCATGTTACAGGCAGACAATGCAGCCACCACAGTGATAAAATACTTAATGATGAATAAAGATTTAAATGATATATTTTATAAATTATTATGTAGACCATGACTTTATTTTTCCAAAGTTATGTGTGTGTTATGCATGTGTCCATAAGCAGAAAAGGTCTGAAAAGATAAGAATGGTTCATTATTCTTGGATGTTAGTACTTTAGCTTCTCTTCTTTTTGTTTATATGTATTTTGTAACTTATTTACAGTGAGTGTGTCTTTCTTGGATAGTACTGTGAAAAGTTGACTTCTGGGTGTTTTTATGGGTGCACGGATTTTAGAACTTTATCTGTGTGGATCCTGTTCTTGACATTCTTACACTTGCCTAGACAGAGGAGTTCAGAACAATCTTCTCTGAATGCCTTTGTGATGGTCACGTAAGAAGGGAGGAAGGAAATGGACACTCATGTTACGTGGAACCTCACGTTTATTTTCTCTTCTTATGCTTACTACATCCCTGCCAAGTTGATTTTACCTCCTCATGTAACTGATAATATCAAAGCTCCAAAGGTTAATCAAATCAGCAAAACTAAGAGGTGAGGATAGGAGAGAACTTAGGTGTGTCTGGCTCCAAAGTCCAAGTGCTTTCCTCTGCCGTACTTAGCCCCCATCTTCTGGTAGGCCAGTACCTTCTTCACTGTTACCTGACCCCACTGGTGATGGTTCCTCCACGTGCAGCTGATACAGCCCCTCCTTCCAGATTCCTCCTTCTTTTCCGCATGTCTTTGTGGCTTTCATATCCTGCCTTCGTTGAGCTCCACATCCACCCCTCCTAATAGTATCCCTCTTTCCTTCAAATTAGTAGTTTTATAGACCTTTATGGGTCCAGGATTAATTTGAAAATTTTATGAAAGCTTTCTCCAGAAAATTCATTTTACACACACATACCC